AGCAGTTTTAAGTTCTACATCGTGTTCAACTTCAAGCTTTCACTTTCAGTAAGTACGGGTTGAACCATACATAATCGAGTCATTATTACACGAGAACTTGACAAATAATTGGGGATTTAAACTTAACGTCCCATAGGGAGCGAATTGAAAAACCACTTCTAAGATTGTTTTAATGTATTGTTGCCCTACATTTGAAAAACTTTTTTGCCTACTGACCGCTGCGCGATCAATTCGTAATACTGATAATACGAAGTTTATTAGTTTATTACCTATTATTTGAATGTGTTGCAATAATTTATTTTAACAAAGATCATCTTTCGTAATATTTCGCCGAAAAAATGAAACTGTGACGTTATCAGAGGCGCACGCATTGTGTTATGACGAGCAAGCGTTATGACGATTAATGGAACGTGATATAGCACAACTCACTCATCGATAAACTCTTTTCGAGATGGATTTTTGAGATGAGTCATTTTGAAAACAAAAACGCGTATTGATCCAACAAAACGGTTGTCTAAAACACACGTTTTAATCAAATACAAATTATAGTCAATTCTTTGGGCATTAGCTTACTAGTTACTTCCGGCTTCGTTTGGCTCAATGCATTTGTCACACCTGGTATTCATGCATTTCGAGTTTCACTTTCCTTGCATTTCGCAACTTTTACCTATTAACTTTAAATACTTTGAAAAACTTGGTCATAACTCTTATAATACGAATTGCCAGTCAATATGAATGAAGCGAGTGAACACTGAAATCGAATCTGGTTCTCACTTGGCTTAACGAAGATAGTTGCATTATCAGTTCTTCGTACTGATTGAAATGGTCTGCTGAATCTTGCTTGAAATAATTGGTTTTTTAGTTCCATTAGTCGTTATAAACAAAATATTACGGCCCTTAGGAACTACCGAACCTTTTATATTGCCGAGGTTATCACACAAGAGTTACGCCACTAATTTGTATAACGTGTACGTAGTGGGGGGACTATACTTGTAATAAAAGCGAGGATTTCAGCTTTGTGCCTTTCAAATCACATCATTTTAATTGTTTTTATTTGTAGCTTCCTGTAGCTCTGAAACCGTCAGGGATAGAACTATAAGCAGACAGTCTCATCTCTAATACAACCGGTTCAGTAGTGTACGACAATAAAACCCAGTGCGAACTAGGCACAGTTAACCTGAGGCAGTCTTCAGTAAAGCATACAAATACATCCAATGCTGAGCTTTGAAGATTGGAATTGGATAAGTGAGTAAACAATTAATCAAAGACAAAGAACGAAGAGTTCTTCTTACTGCATTTCTCATTCAAACCGCTAAAAAGGTAACAGTAGATTGTTTTTGTCAAGAGTTTTAGCGAGTTTATCAGTGAGTTGTTTGAACAGCTAACGCAAGTCTTTCAGTTCAAAGAAAGGTTTCAGTCGGTTCGTGATGGTGAATCATTCCTCGTTTCAAACAAGATAATTTCGCTTTACTTTTGTCTCTTATCTATACAAACTTTTCAGCTGAAATGAGTACATTAGTACCATCAAGTCTGCAACATTTTGTTAACTCATTGTGAGGAGCTGAGAAAGCAAAAGCTACAGCTAATCCCGTCAGCTGATCTTGAAATTCAGTTAGACATATGGGAGTCAAACATTTGATGATTAGAAGCAAAACTGCTTATGGTATGCACTACGAAACCTCAGTCAACCTTCAACGTCATATTTTAAATAATGTCGTAAAAGTGTGGTATAACGTGTTACCAAAATAAATTAAATCGTCCCTCGCTCGGAACTCACTGACTCGGTCAAATCCGGCCTAACATATCGGGCACTCGTGCTAAATCATCGCCGTAAAATGAAATTGGTCATGAGTATTCTTGGGTTTAAATAAAAATACTGAAATATCTCATAACAGCTTCACTATRTAATAGTTAATTTATCCAAAGGTTTTCTTTATGTTTTTGGCTTTAGTTTAATACAATTGAATGATTCTATACTGATGAGCCATTGGTACTACGTGATCTACACAACCCTCAACGGAAAAACACAGGAACGCCGGACAGATTACCCAAACATTAGGGAATTTATTATTGTCATTTGTGCTTAGTAAAATTGTGGTAGCAGCTACAAATTAACTTCAACGACACACACTTGCAAAGAGTTTTAGTCAAGATATCTAATTCTTTAACATTGGTTTTTATCTAGATATAGAGCGAATCCAGCTTTCTTTGTTGAACGTCTTCATTCAGTACAGCATTTAACTGAGAGAAGACTGGTTAGTGAGGCAAGCTGAGGTTTACATAGATACATAGTTGAATCATTTTTGTGATGAAAGAATTAGCGATACTTAATTGTAAGATGGTACAAAAGCTAGACTTCTAGGCAGACAAGACCTACGGCTCTCTTAAAAGTGAAGTCAGGTCAAAAAATGAATAAAAAAATGCGAACATCCGGTCATCGAGGTAGCTAGAGGGAAAGATATAGCCCACAGAATGAATGCCTTACGTAAAAGGTTGATAATATAGACACAAACAGGAAAACGACTTATCTAGATTCCAAGGTATAAAAAAAGGCTATGAGAATATCGAGTTTGAAAATGTTGCGTTGGAAGTCTTAATGCGCGCCCAAACATCTCGTTCAGCTACAAAAATAAATAGAATAAAAAAAGCGTTTGAAATTCAATCATATGCTAAAGGTCTGTTTTATCTATCCTCAAAAACCAATTGTGTAACAACAAAAGATGGATTTTAGAATTGGCGTTAAAAAAATCATTGTCAATGGTTTGAATAAAGATGTAATTGACAAAGTTATTCAACCGAATTGTTTCGTAAAAAGCGCATTGAATATAAGTTTATTTAATGGATATTAGCTTGTTTAATCAGGAAACTATCAAAACCTAAGCGTTGCAAATCCGAGGAATGCGTAAACCTGAAACTTATAGTCACAAATCAAACGAACAATAGCATTTTTCCTCTAATGTTCCTGTTCTCTTTCCTCTTTACTATCTCAAGGTTGTAAAATCTTTTATCTTCCACTKTAAGCATTCTTCCGACTTCCTTTCTAAAGGTGAAAAGGCTTCAAATCCAGCGAGTTTTCTTCACTCACTCAGTCCAAGCGAGGYCACAATACAAAGTGCGGCTTTGGAATCGTAAAGTTTTTTTTTTGAGCCAAGAGGCCAATGCTTTCCTCTTTTTAGCGTATTTTTATCTTTTTGGTTAGAAAAAAACTTATTTTAGACTCTAAGGTAACTTAGTAACTAAATGTAGCAATGAGGTTTTGCGTAAACTATAGGTTACGTACAAGCTTACGTACAGTAACATATCGTCATCTGTTCTTGCCATCTCGAACCTTCGGGATTACTCTAGACCTATTGTGACGTATTACCATTGACCTCCCCTCCCCTATCGTTTTTCTCGACCACTTGGATCACGTCCCTCCATCACTCGTGTCAGTCACCATGCCATTGAACATACGTTTTTTGATTTTTTGACAATTCCAAGTTTGATTTCATTTTTTTACGCCAGACCCCTTAAATGCCCAGTGGTTTTAGGGATATAGATCTTGTTATCTATTATTAGCTTATTAGGCTTGCTAACATAGAACAAAGTTGATTGTTTTCGTGTTAATCCACTGATTGAGCAACTTATGACTCATATTAGAAGCCTAGGGAGCGGAGTATACACAATTTTCCTCGCTTCGCTGCTCCATTATTGTTTTTTTCCCAGCATGTCTTGTGTGTTTTAGTTTTATCTAAGCGAGATTTTGGAACGCGAACGTGACATTTTCAGCAGCGACTCAAAACACCAAATAATGATTCATGAAGTTAGTATTTCTCTCTGATCACTCCCACTTAATGCTACAAGAATAGTGGTTCGCTTGTGGTGGAACTCACTTAGATATTATGTAATTTCTACGCTTGTTGACTCATCATAATAGAGTAGAACTAATTATCTTAAAGCTAAAAAAAATCGTAGATTCTTGACGATATTCGAAACAAAAAAAGATTTTTTTTTCGGTAGAAAGACAAAAATACGAAGCGCGGAATTCAAAAGTTGTTTGTGAAAATTCGGCTTTTACGCCTGAAAAGTAGCTAGCGCCATTCATTCAAGAAACTAATTTGGCGATAATTTGTTTATTCGACACACCCCGTCCCAAGGGACTCAAAGACAAAGCATTGATTTGCAAATGAATAGAATGTTATTGACGACTGAGACATATTTATTGTGACGTCACAAGTAGAGAGGTTAAAGGACCAGAACAGAGCGGAAACCCGAAGAAAAAGAACTTACCACGTCCGAATGATTCTATCTTCAAAATATACCGCTTCGATATCGTATAAGGGTTTCTTTACCACGTGCTTGTATAGTTAATAATGTTGTTTTCAAGTCGATCTTGCTCAAGCGTAAAATATTGTTTAGAATGGCTTATCATTTGATGGAGCACAGTTTGTTTATCTATCATTACCGTTCTGTAGATTGTACAGACTGATCTTCAAAAGATCAAATATCTAATCTATGTGGTTTTTCCAATTACTCGCGTAATTTTACGATATAACCTTTTCTAGTTCATTTAAAAAATCTTCTAAAATTGTAATCCAGAGTGGCTGAGTGATAAAGACGATTTGAAGGTCTAAGAATCCGCAGAAAAATGACTCCAAGTCTTCTGTTTATCTTTCGCCACACATGCAGCTCTTAATCGGCTTCACCTTGAACGTGATTGGTATTGCGACTGTTTGATTGACAGTTGTGATATTGTTCTCTTATTAACGACAACCAGATACAAAACACTTCAGCTAGCAGAACGATGAGGTCGTTGACCTTCGTGTGACGTCACTAGGTGTGTCTGTGCGTGGGTGTAAAGGCTCTCAAGGGAATGAAGTGTTATGATCTTGGACGATTGTCATTGGTTGGTCTTTGGAAAAACATTTACCTCCTAATGTTTGAATGTCAGAAAGGCCCTCCCTCTTGTCACGACTCGAATAATTTGACAAAACTCTAATATGTATAAAGTTAGGAGCGCTCATCTACCCGACCAGTGTTCAGAAAGTTAAGGATAGAAACGGTACCTGTACTTAGACACATAGCCTCTCAGAAAACACCAAGACCCGTTTGGATAGTTTCTCCTCATTGTTTGCCGGATAAAAACAAAGGAAAACGCTTCCCTGCAATTGAAAAAAACAGTTTCTTTCGGATAGCGTCCAGTAATTTAAGATTATAAAATATTTCGACATTCCTCTACACGTTGGACTATAGCTGCTTCGACATTATAACACTTTTTTAAAAGGTAAGAAGAGGCCACGGTGTCGATTCTCAAGTGAATCTAACTTTGTCTTAAAAGTTGTGTTATATCAACACTAGGTAAAATAAAACTACACTTTTGTGTATAGGCATTAAGGTTTTACAGCTTTAATTATTTGTAAATCGTAGTTGTATATTATAGATTCATTCTAATTTTCCCTTGTTCTTTTTTTTCTTCAAGGATCAAAGCTTCAAGATGTATGGTCTTAGTTCAGAATCAAACGTAGTTCCCGATGCTTCAGTTTATGCTCAGGTAAGGGTTAAGTTAACTGTCTTTTTTACTTTGGATTTTAATGGTTGCTCATTTAGTTCGAAGAGAGATACTGTGCTTAATGATGTGTAGAGATCAGAAAAAAACTGAACAAGACTTCATCCATAAGTTTGACATTTCAACGGATTTGACATAAAAAAAAAGTTTTGGTAAATCTAAGCGAGTTCATATAAGAGTGGATCGAATACCGATACACGTTCAATGCTCGTAACATAGTATAGCTTCGTGTAAAATCATGTTCAAAGACGATTTGACACTATTTTTTCTATCCGAAATCTAAGAAAAGAATCCAGTCTTTACATTTCGAATCATTCCGCTTAATTTAAAATAGTTTTCGAATCTTTTTCTTTCTTTTGGCTATTTAGCGGGGTTTAGATACACATATAGTTGGATTCTATACATTAACAATTATGCAAATTTTTGGATCTGTCACACTTTGGTCTTGTACTCGTTTCATTGCTCGATCGATGTATTGTAAAAGTACTAAGATGTCGCTGAAACATAGAATATGAAAAGAAAGGCCTTCAGTAATGACGAACTGAAGTCATTCAAGTTTGATTCAGTTTCACTTGACGCCGGTAATTGAAAAAACTCTTCTTCCTCTGACAGGAATCTCTTCTAGAAGAGCAGTCGTTGTTCGACTCTCCTTTCAGTGACGCATACAAACCAATAAAATCTATCAAGAATGACTCCTACTATAGTAAGAAAAGACCCCTTGAAACTGAACTTGAASAACCGCTTGCTAAAAGACCATTTGTGCCAAGCAATGACTACCTTGAAAGAAATTCACCGTCGCCCGCTCCCGCTCCGCAAAACTTGGCGCACGATCGTCGAGTCATCGTCCCAGCGGGTAAGAGAAAACTGCTTGAATCTGATACTTCATTTGTCTTGGTGCTGTCATCACCAAGTTGCCGCCCTGATTTTAAACCCACTGTCAAATTACAAGCCACTGTCAAGATTAGTTTGCTTTGAGTGTTTGGCGGATTTTCTTTTCTTTGGGGGCGGGTTTTTAGTTGCCTCACCCAAGCTTTGGAATTAACCCTTCAAACTTCCAAGATATTTTTGTATCTTAAAATTTTTCTCTCTTTTTGTTTAGCCTGGCTTTATCGTGTTTTCATTTGATGTTTGTTTTACATTCTTTTCGGGATGGACAAAAATATGCCTTCGTCTTGCTCTAAAGGGAATAGAATTCGTGATTTTCAAAATTCATTTTTAAAAGCGGAAATTCATGCTGTTTTTCCATATAGTGAAAAGAAGAAAAAAATCGATAGGTTTTCAATAACGAAAAATAAAAATACGAAAAATTACTAAACCCTTTTACATTTTCAAAGCAAGTTTCGTTAACTGTGATGGGTAATTTTGATATTCATACGAATTTTCCGCCTCTTCAGATCCAATGTGCTGGACCAAAGAACATGTTCACCAGTGGATCTTGTGGGCCATCAAGGAATTCAGCCTCAAGGATATCGATGTCGACAAGTTTGATATGGACGGCCGAGATTTATGCCGTCTGAGAAGAGAAGATTTTATGAAGCTTGCCCCAGCTTACAATGGCGACATTCTTATGGCACATCTCTGCGTCCTGAGAAAAAGTAAGAATACTAATATCACCATTTTATGATATTACATTTTTAGAAAAAATGGAGAGTTGATCGAAAGTGGATTTTTTTTAACGAGACTTAGTCGAAGGGAAAAGCGTATTGAAAGACATGTGATGAGCTGGCATATATCCAATGAACTCCTGATGGGTTCAATGGTATCTGGTTTTCATTTCTCCTGCTATTGGGTTCCATTCGGTACTTTTGTGCGCGGATCAAGTGTTAAGAGCATGGGTCGATTAATACAACTGATTAATATCGTGCCCCGACAAATCTTATTACTGCCTCGCTTGCGAAATATCCATCGTTCTGACGACGACACACCTTCGTAAGAACAAATTGACATTTTTTTGGAATTTGATTTTAAAATTTGTATTCTTTTTCTTTTTGTTTTAGCTCCTTTGCCTAACCTGACTTCAGATGATATTGACAGTGCTTTAGCCCCAGCCTCAAGTCAAGGAGCTGTAAGTTCATATGACTCAAGACAGCATCCAGTTATTACCAGTAACCCTAACGCCATAAGGAACCAAGAGTATGGTCCATCTCAACGATATAGTGACGCATACGACCGAAGCACTCCAACATGGAGTCCTGCCCAACAAACATCAAGTAAGTTGGACAAAAAATATAACAAGAAAACACTTTACGTTTTAGTCTGGTTATTGCTTGTAATGTTTTTGAAAATTTTAAATTAAATCAGAAAATATTTTGTTTTTTCTTCAGGACTTTCCCATCTTAAAGACGGAGTTGTTCCTAACAAACAGCTATCAGACACCCAATCTCTTCAGAACTCCTTTACTGCCAGCCCTCTCGGCCACCGACCAGATACCCCATCCACTGGAAGTGGACAAATCCAACTGTGGCAATTTCTATTGGAGCTGTTGTCAGACCCGAAGAACGCCAACTGTATCGTATGGGAAGGTGCTAATGGTGAATTCAAGCTAACTGACCCGGATGAGGTTGCTAGGCGATGGGGTGAGAGAAAGAACAAGCCAAACATGAACTACGACAAGCTAAGCCGTGCTTTACGATACTATTACGACAAAAATATCATGACAAAGATTCACGGGAAAAGATACGCTTACAAATACGACTTCCAAGGACTTGCTCAACTCAATCAACCAATCACATCTGATGCTCAAGCGCATGCTCAAGCCGCCTACAAATTCACAGGCTCAGATTTTTACGCTGGATTCCCAAGCGCTGCTTCATTGTACTCCCATCCAGGTGCTAACCCATGCTTTCAAGTGCCTTACTGGACACGAGCACCACCAGCCTACACGCAGTCAAGAGCAATGTACCCCTCACCAATGGCTTCTGGCATGGGCATGACGTACTATGCGTAAAAATAACTGAATTATATAAACAATTTTATAGATAGTTTTATATATAAATATATATAAATACATATAATATACATACAAATGGTTATATTTATTTACGCATTCAGGTTTAAATGCTCTGGCTTAGAGCTTCAAAGGTACTATTAATTGTACTGTATATTTTTTAATTCGTCGCCATCAAACTGTAAGATTTAATCATTTTCATGTTAAAACCGCTTGTGTAAACGAGCGTTATCATTTCAGTTGTTTAAAATAAGTATCCCGAGTAACTTCCAATTAAGCAGTATTGGCCATAACAAGTAACCATTGCAGTCAGTTAAAGCGTTTACTCGGTCTGTATATAAAAAAATTGAAATAACTGATTTATATCAAAAAACAAACAAACAAAAAAAACTATTTGTGGATTTAGAGTTCGTATTTTTATAAAGCAAATTTCTAGCAAAAGTTATCTTTATCAGTCGAATATATTTTTCTATAAAAATGAATGTTCTTTTTCTAGAGTGGCAATAAGGTGTTGCTTACCGGCTTTTTTCACAACCAACCATACCAAGACATTTAGGATATATTTATTGTATAAATGGTTTTCCACAAGACGTTTATGGAAGTTCAAATCAAAAATATAGATAATTTATGAGTTATATTGTGGTATGGTTGAATGCCATATTTTATTATCATACAATGGTGTAAATAAAATACGCAAGTGATATATATGTCATTGTCTCTTTTATTTTATTTGAGGGGGGGGGGGGGATTCGAATTTGTCGGATAGTAATTGGTTCCAGTATATGCTTAAAGTGAGTCACCCGAAAATCTACGAAGGTGAGGCCGACAGGGATCATGGATAGATACATTTTTACTTGTTTCAACCGCTTGATAACTGTTGATGGACTTGCGCATCTTTTACCATAGTTTAGTATCACCTCTTCTGAGCATCCTCAACTGCTGCAGTTTGTATCATTAACTTGAAAGCATTAACTTGTTTCATATGAACATTTGAGATTCAAATTTCATGCTATCCTGGTTCATCTTCATCTCAGGGTAAAGCTACTCGTCCCGTTCATATTTTTCGTTCGAACCATCGTACCATCCTAGCAACGGGCCTGATGATGGTTGTGATGTTGATAATGATGATGGTGATGCCCTGATGATGTTGATGGTGTTGATGATGATAATGATGGTGATAATGATGATGCAGCGATGAGGATAAAGGATAATACTGAGAAGTTTAAACCAAAGGGGGGCACTAGCACCACCAACCATGAATCTGCCCCTGGGATCTACTCCTGGTCTATGGGAAAGCACTGAACTGATCTGGACTAAAATGTAGAGCAGGCTTTACGTTGACACTAGTCATTAATTGATTAAAGCTCAATAGTTCTCAAGTCAGTAATGTAAGTGATAGGAAAGCAGCCTTGGTATGGTAAACTCATAGATCTCTCATCTTGTGCAACGGCACATAGGACGACACTGGCTGTTGTATCATCAAAGCCAAATTTGAAAATTGGCTTTCACGGTTGGTACAAAGATTGCCTTGGTAGAGATGACTTGCGAAAAATCGTTCTTTATGATAAGATGATGATCTCACCATTGGCACTTGGATCTGGCTTGTATAACTTCATGTCTTGCAGGAATTCTTCACTGAACTTGTAGCCTTATCGTTTATGCTTAGTTTTGATCAGAATTCCCTTTTTGTAGCAATATCTTAGTGCCCTTTCCATTGAACTGTATGCCATGTTTAGCCGACCAGTGTAAACGCCCCACATGCAGACGAGCTTCCTTCTGGTCGGATTCCCAGTGGATGATGCTAGAGTATTGCCGAGGGTCGAGTAACAACGATGCCAGAAACTGTAACAGTCTACTTTCCCCCCCCATTGGTAAATAATGCTGCGCCAGAAGTGTTTCATCGCGACTGATCAGGTCTCGCGTCTGTCGTATGCGAGTTGTAGGCTTGATTTACACGCTACGACTCGAGTTGTAGGATGGCGCGAGCGTGTTGTATGCGATAGTTGTAGGCGAAAACCTTACCGTCTAAAACGGCCTTAAGAATGCCGGACCATTCATTCCAACTATTTCTGTATTCAGTGACTAAGATACGACTTGCATGGCTCTTTCAGAGAGGCCAAGAGAAAAGCAGTGTCGTATAATCAAAATTGTAAGCAGAGTTTTGCAAACCAAATAAATCTACATCAAATATATTCTTCCAGTGTACCTGGCGTAGTCGGTTTGACCGCATAGGACTTTCAGTCAAAACTGATCATGACGGGAAATTTATGATTTATGTTCCGGCAGGCACACAGTTTCGAAATATCATAACCATTTTTCTATGAACTAGATGTTGAAGTTACATGATGGACGATTTAAGTTCCCTCGTCGACTAAGTCGGCAATTCAGAAAAGATAACATACGAGAGTAGTTCTTTATATTAACTAATTGTTAAACTAAACTTCGACTTTGGAACTCAGGAAAAGAGTTCGATGACGAAAAAACTCACCAGTTCCACTTGACATAATTGCGGTAACCGAAGCTCAGCGTCTTGAAAGAGAGAAAAACCCGAATTTTTTTCTTACGATTCAAGTACCGCACTTATATATGTTTTGAGAAAACTCCACCTAGATCCAATGGTAATAAAAAACAAACACATTCAAATGATTTTGTTCCCATGACAGCCATCGAGAGCTCCGTCTAATGATGAACTATTTGAACAAGCTAGTTTGTAGCGTAATTTAGGACGTAAATTAGGTAGTACACTAATGCAAGAGGTCAGTCGATACTATTGTTTTTTTTAATCGTCTATTTGACTATTATATATACACTAACTACTAGAAACTGTCTCGCTGTTTGAGAAAAATCACGGCTCTAAGTATAGATACCTTCTCTACAATAGACACCATTTATGGCCAAATAGTCAGTTTAGTATATTTGACCATGGGCGAATCCAAACGTATACTTAGCAAAACCAAACAGTTGGTTGGTATAGCAACGCTGATCAATATTAATTGTCCTYACTGTAAAGTCTTGTTCTTATTCAAGTTAGACCTGCTGGAGAAAGGATAAGCCCAATTGAGCCTTTAAACTTTTGCATTGCTTATTCATTTAGCTGAGTCATCCCATTACAATTCGGTGTTAGCTTATTATAGTATTTCTTTTCTTTCTTGGTTTAGCGCAATAACAAATGATACATTCCTTCTCAATATACTTGTGTTTATCCTTTCGTTATGTTGTCGGCTCCCTTTCTTTTCTCGACTTCAACGTCATCATAATGCTCGTCTTCCTCTCTACATCTTAGCGAGCAGCGCTCGGGCAGCGTTCGTTATGAATGAGTTATGCAGTCTATACTATATTGGTAAGTCAAGGGGTAAAGATGAGGAGAATCCCGAAGTACTAGCGAGCAGCGCTCGGGCAGCGTTCGTTATGACTGAGTTCGTTATGACTGAGTTATACAGTCTAAACTATTTGGTATAAGTCAAGGAGTAAAGATGAAGGAAAATCCCGAACTACTAGCGAGCAGCGCTCGGGCAGCATTCGTTATGACTGAGTTATACAGTCATTCTATTTGGTTAGTCAAGAAGTAAAGATGAAGGATAATCCCGAACTACTATGGAGCGGCGTTCGGGCAGCGTTCGTTATGACTGAATTATATAGTCATTCTATTTCGGTAAGTCTGGAAGCACAGATGACGAGAATCCCGAACTGTTACCGAACAATGGCGATGTTGGAGGAATGACAAAAGAGCCATTGCCTGTAGCAGTGGAGGAAGGTGATGTGAGAGAGGGAGGTGACAAGGTGATTGGCAATGTTGAAGAGAAGCTATTACTTGTAGGTGACGACATCAATGGACCCATATCTGAAAAAAATGGATTGGATCGAGTGAGCTAGACACACACCAAAAATGGTACCGCTACAGTTTGATCAAAATAATAACATAATTTCAATATCCAGAAATACCTGGATCAATATCGTTCTCAGCCCCAATACCAGTCAGCTGACTTGTAGGTGAGAGGGGACTGGGAATGCGTTGTGAGGATAACGTAGCGCTGGATGATGCAAGGGTCAGCGGTCCTAGTGACGTAGGAATCCCAATATCTGCCAGAAAGGAAAAAAAAAAACGAAGATAAATAAATAAATTGATGATTATCGTCATGATTACATCACCGTCCAATACCCATCATGCTAACCTTCGAATATGTTATCCTCAGTATCAGACATAGCGGTTGACTGTAATGTTAGATTACTATCATCCTGATCCATCGGTATGCTGTCATCACCCAGTCCCAGTCCTTCCTGGCTGGATGACGACGATAAGTGCCTGGGTTCTTGAGGTGGAGAGAACTGATTGTCTTGATTATCCATGGAAAGACTGCACGCAGATGTTAGCTTGCCACCTAATTGTCAACCAGAACGATATTTTTATTATATGTTATTTAGGCAACAGCTACAGCTATATACATTGACTGGTCTATTAAGGGAGATGATAAGAAAGATAGTGCCTCTTGGGTGGATCAATTGATCTTTATGAAGTTGCAATAAAAGTCCTTTCTCTGCTAGAGGGTCCTGAGGTGGGTGGGGG